TTTTCCTACTACATAGCACTCCTTCTACCATTTTAGACCAAATACCAAATTATCGTGCCTTATGCCTTTAAACGCCCGAGTGGGCAGGGCTAGAGTTCAAGTTTCGAGCAAGCGTTCACGTTTTCTGACTGATCGATATGTACCATCTAACCTGTCATCTGGAGCGAAATTTTATGGATTTCAGCCTAGAAAAATAGCAAAATGCCCAATAAAGTTTTGTGTTTTTGTACGTCCCGCCCACAGACTACAGTAACTTGTGTATAGAGCACTTGTGAATCGATTATCGATTAGTGATCATGCTAGCGGTGGGCGGGGCGAGCGATGATCCATGTAATTGACTCTGCTCTCGCTGTTGCAGGCGAGTGTGGCGCCGCGCTGTGTCGTGTGACTCTGTCTGCCTCTGAGATGAACCGCTAGTCGCCCCGCCCATCGGTTGGTGCTCGCTGTGCTCGTGCTCATCACCGTGCTCCTCCTCATCGACGTCATTATCATCACCGTACCGTTCACACCATCATCATGGGATTCAACGTGCCAATCATAAACCGCGACTCGGATGCTGTTCGTGCAGCCACGAAGCAATGGGTTGAACAACCCGAGAATCAGAAGAAGCTCGTGCTCGTCATTGTCTCAGTGGCTCTACTACTCGATAACATGCTCTACATGGTTATTGTGCCAATTATTCCTAAATACCTTCGAGATATTCATGCTTATTCTGTGGAATTCTACGGTTATCACAATGAAACCGAACGTCTCCCCAACGGTACTGTCATCGTCCGAGCCGTTGGGGCTAAAATCGACTATAAAGATGAGGAAATGGAACTTGGCTGGCTATTCGCCTCTAAAGCCCTCATCCAAATATTCATCAATCCATTCTCTGGCTATATTATTGATCGAATCGGCTACGAACTTCCTATGGTCATCGGTCTAGTGGTTATGTTCAGCTCGACGGCTATATTTGCACTGGGCCACAGCTATAGCGTCATGTTCTTCGCCAGATCACTACAGGTTGGTGTGAGATCCTTTTTGACTGGTTTTTTTTCTTTAATTTTGGATTGGAAAATTATTTGAGCCAATTATTCTCAGCCCGTCCCCATCAGACCATCAGCATTTTGCTCATTTCTTTCTGAAATAAACCCCTGTCATTCAAATGACGATCGCAGTGAACGACATAAATTCTAGGACCAATAGCTGGCATCTGTCTTATATCGTGATGGTTTCGATTTCGCGAGCCAAGCCAACCACGTTTTCCCGGGGGACTTTCGCCTTTAACTCGATTTCAAGCTCGATACTCTTCTTCGGGAAGGGAAGGACCTTGACGTCATCCCTGCAGCTTACTCACTTCAAATTGAATAACTCTAATTAGTAAATACTGACCGTAATGGGGCATCTTGTGCAAAAGTACCGTATTGCGAAACGCATTAAAAACTGGTTCACCCACCCGAAACTCTGCTTCTCCTGGGTTCAGCCAAAATGCCTCACCTTCTCCTCGGGAAACTCAGTCTTGCACAAGAATAAGGGTCCCTTCAATCAAGGTACAGCATCGCTCGGAGACAGTCCTGCCATTGAGGAAAATGGTTACAAAATACGCTCCCTCGAAATTTCCTTCTCTGTTACGATCACCTTTCCTCCCCGTCAACATCCTACCTACCATGTTCCTAAGTTTTCCCATCCTCCTACCACTTTTCCGGGAAAATTTGTAGTTCTTTTCCAAAAAGCTCGGGGGGAAGGAGGAGTAAACAGGTGTATAACACACTAGAAACAGGAAAAAGCGAGAAAAGCCAACAACAGAAAACACTTTTTCTCAGAGGCAAAAGCCTCCTCACACTCCTCCTTCCCTTCACCTAGCAAGTACAGCTGATATCGTCGTAATCAGTCGGGGCGGTTTCAAGAGGGAAGAAGAGGCCCTGCGGAGTTTTCTTCACTGGTTGTTTTCATCATGAATCGATCACTAATCGATGACTATTGGTAAAGCAAGGTAGCCCGAGGGCAGGCCCACCCGCCCCTCCTGACACCGCTCCACCTGACTGCGACGTTATCAACTGTACGAATCTCTTCGGTGGAGATCCCCGACGTGCGACATGCTTTGTTGGGAGATTGACATGGGAATAGTACTTGACCGCTAGGGAGGGGATTTTACCTGGAGTTGCTGAAGAATTTCCCCTCGGCGAATTTCCCCAACGACAAGACGTGGCCTGAGTTGTCGATGGAACTGACACGTGCTGCCGTTGGGGAAGAATTTCTAAGACCGTCTCGAATTCTTCCCCCCCTAACCACCTCAAAACTTTTACTCTACGCCGCCTTATTTCCTATCATGAAATCATTTTTTCAAAAAAAATCAACAACGCGAAACATTCCTCTCATATGCCAAAATGCAAATATAACCCCCTCCTGACAGCGACCAAATAGCGACCCTATCTGAAATCCTCACATACGTGGTGCCCCTGGCATCCCATTTGTAGATTGAACGGGACCTCTCACTTTTGTCGCAGCAGTTCTTCGCCAAAAATTGGAATTGCTTTAGTAAATTTGAAGGGAGCTGAAAAATATGGTGATACCGTACATAGAGTGGAATCGTACCTGAGGAGAAAAATCGGGAATGTCGTGCAGATACCTCCAGTCAACCCGCAGCGATTAGTAGGGGGGTGTATGTGCTTTTGAACGTCTCCTTTTTGTGTCAATAATTCTTTCAAAATTTGTTATAAATGGTAGTTTCCAAATGTTCCTGATGATTTCTGTGTTGCAGGGATTCGGCTCGGCTTTCGCTGATACCTCTGGACTGGCCATGATCGCCGATCGTTTCAACGAAGAAGGTGAACGTTCAGCTGCACTTGGCATTGCTCCTCGCCTTCATCTCATTCGGCTGTCTCGTTGCACCACCTTTTGGATCCGTGCTCTATTCGCTAGGCCGGCAAACCCGTGCCATTCCTGATCCTATCCTTTGTCTGCCTTGCTGATGCACTTGCTGTTTTCATGGTGATTCAGCCTGGTCGTCGTGCTGCAGTGAATGCCGCTGGAGAACGTATCAAAAGGTACGCCAATGTGGCGCTTGTTCATGGATCCGATGATTGCAGTCTGTTCTGGAGCGCTGATTATGGCGAACGTATCCTTGGCATTTCTCGAGCCCACAATCACCAACTGGATGGCTGAAAGTATGCCGGACACGCCCGTGTGGTTGGTTGGAGTGATCTGGTTGCCGGCTTTCTTTCCCCATGTGCTTGGCGTCTACGTCACCGTCAAGCTCCTCAAGGCGTTCCCCAACCACACGTGGGCCATCGCTGCTACAGGCCTGGCCATGGAAGGAATATCGTGCTTTGCCGTACCCTACACAACTTCAGTACTTCAACTGATCATTCCACTAAGTTTTGTGTGCTTCGGAATTGCCCTTATCGACACTTCGCTTCTACCAATGCTTGGATATCTTGTGGATACACGCCATGTGCCCGTATACGGTTCAGTGTACGCAATTGCGGACATTTCCTATTCGTTGGCCTATGCATTTGGACCAATCATTGCCGGATGGATTGTGGGCAATATGAGCTTCTTCGCTTTGAATATTATCATCTTCATATTGAATATTGCCTATACACCAATGATTTTCTTTCTGAAAAAAGTGCACGGGTACGACTCGCTAGCGCCAAAACCGGAAATGACCACACTGAAAAACGATAACTACGGACAAATCGAAAGTGATAGTAATGCAACGGAGATGACAGCCACGGCGCAATCCTACCAAGGAGGCGGTTACGGTACTCAGCCGACCAATTACCAGAACAGTTTCGCACAACCTGAATTTCCAGCCGGTTTCGATCCGTTGAATCCGCAATGGTAGACGTTTCCGAAATGTTGGTTTGACTGGTGTCTATTTGCTTGTTGCATCGCTTAGAGCCCTATTTATTTGCATTTGTGTGAATTTGATAAAGTATTGGAGAAATAACAGAGCACAGGTGTAGGTCACAGACAGTTAAACAGATTGAGAAAAAAGTGATGTGTGTACGGTAGCGTACGGTATTGTATCGATTTTGTAGCTTGAAATGGATCAACGCAACGGTGCTGGTGAACAGTATTGCTGTGGCTGGTATAAGGTGCGTTTTCAAGGGTCTGTTTCACTTCACTGCACACAAGTGCAGACCATTTCGCCCGTTCATTTGTTCCCGGGAGCAGTAGGCTATTCCATTAGTGAAGATGCACGTTAACGGTTCTCTAGGGACGGCTGGACGGGTTTATCAGTGTTTTGCCTCAGCACTCTTCGTCTTCATCTAATTAAACACATTACCTCGCCCGTCGTCGTGTGTCCCTCTGCGAGCTCCCTCAGCATCGTTCGAGGTTCTTCTACGCGCTTTCTGGCCAATGATTTCAGTCAGTCACCACAAATTGCTTGCAACCCATTCAATTTTCTCCCCCCTTCTCGACTATCTCTACGCCTTTTGTGGACGTCAGAAGTCGTCAGACTCCAATATTGTAAAATCGTGCTTACCGTCAGCTCTGACTCCCTGTAAATATTCGCTAAAAGAAAAATGACTGTCGGCAAGGTTATTTTTAGACCCCTGGTGCATCTGGCAAGATATTCCGTCAGGCCTCGAAGCACTTTGACGGTGAGTTCGTCTTCGCAATAATTCAGCCAGAAACCTGGACTTTTGGGAGGTTGCAGAAGGCCACGCGAAACCTGGACTTTGAGGAGGTTGCAAGGGCCAGCATTAATTAATCATTTTATTGAGTCATAAATGCTGAAAACAAGTGGGCCAACCATGAAACGCCGAGGGGCTTCATTGCTTTTTGACCGGTTTCCAGCTCTTGCACTCTAGGCCACTCAACAGCCTGGAGCTTGCTGGCACGGTTTGTAGTCTAGAAGAAGAAACCACATGGTTTGAAACCCTGGCCTTTGGTTACTTGGCTTACTGGTTTAGTGGACTCCGCGGCCGCTGCGGTCCACTGAAGAAACTCATAATCCAAGTAGCAGCGCGAAGTAACCGTCTCACGATCTGGAACCCAGTCCCCACGGCTGTAGCCGCTGGTTTTTCATTTGCTGTGCAGCTTCCCGATTAAAGGGTATAGCACAGCCTCAGGCTCAAGTGAACTCGTTTGGGAAGCTTGCAGAAACGCTGAGCCGTTAGCATCAAGCCCTATTTCTGGTGCAAGTTCACTCAATATAACGAACGAGGGGTCCAGTCGGAGCGAAGGCCTGGTGGGTTCTCTCCCTGAAAAAAAGAAGAGAAATGCATTGGTATCTGGGGAACTGGGGTGTTGCTACCCGATCTAACTGAATTTCACGGTGGTTGAACGTACTGGTGGAGAAGTACAAAGAAAATAAGATAGCACGTATAGTAGTTTTTGCTGGAGAAGCTAGAGCGCGTCAAGGGGCCCTAGCGTTGACGCGCGCCCCGCCCTTTTTTTAGCCAGTTCGTGCGCTTCACCTCTTGCAACAACTGGGTGAGGCGGCTGAACCCAGCGCCGTGACACGCTCCGGCTTTGCAGCGAAACGAGTGCACATTTGTAGTGCAAGATCTCCCCCATCTCTCATTCAGAAATCTGGAGGCAAAGAGTGTCGTTGTCAGTAAGCGTAAGTAAGGTGCTGATTTGGTTGATTTGAATGGATTCCGGTCTGTAGTACATGTGCGGTGAAGCGCTTCTGATTACAGCGCCACACACATTCAGCTCAATGGTCGATAGAAAGGGTTCGACGAGAGCTTCAGGAGCGAAAGTTCCATTTTCTTCTTGAAACGCAGGAAAATTAGCGGTTTCTATGAGAATAGTATTAGACTGAGACAAACGCTGTCCTTGCCTGTGAATGGGCCCGCAGCTGCAGTAGAGTGCCACTTTTCCGCGCGGGAACGGGGCTTGGAAAGTGATAGCGGGCGTTGTCTCTCGATTCGGCCCTAGTTGCCGCACGGCCAGACTCACGCCCAACCATAGCCGAATGCGCTACGCCTCTGCGTCTTCTCACTTCTGGCCGTTCTCTACCGCTGAGTACGTGTTTTTTGCGGTATTTTGGTATCGACGGTATCAGCAGCGCTTTGGTTACCGGCTATCCCCTAATAATGGCGAGAATGCCTCGAACTGAAAAGTCTATTTTTGGCTCATAACTCAGTACGAGTGTAAATTCAAGTCCACCGTTTGAACTTTGCTGACCAGGCGATTTTCGGTGTTTAGAAGTGCGAGCTGCGTCTTGTTCCTGTTGCTCAAAAAGATGGCTCATGCTTAGCAAACGCTGTTACACTTGCTCCACTTTTCAACGACGCCAAAAAGGACGGAAATTATTGCGGATTTGCGCCTGAATCAAAACCAAGCGCGAATCTTTCCGTTCAACGAAGAAGAGGCTGAAGCGCACTTTGAAAAACAAAAATACTTTCTTCCCGTTTGCCATGATCAGGATCCGATCCGGACTTATTGATATTGAACAGTCACTACTTTTTACTATCAAACTTAGTCGCATTTGTAGTAAGGTTCATGTGGCAACCAAATATCTCAATCTTCTCTCTGACAAGGCATCTCCTGTTTGATCAAAGTCTGCATTGTGTTTTAGACAATGGCGAAGCTTCCAGACCTTGAAAGGTGCATTCTGCCAACAATCGGGCACGCCACAGTACGGTGAAAAGTCTTGCGCCACGCCTCTTCAGCGATTCACCACCAAGTCCTCACCTCCTTCAAGCCCATTCTGCCCACTGCCTTTAAAAGTGCTCAATTATCTCGAGAGAGATTTTAAAAGTCAAAAGTTTCACGGAATACTCTTGAATAATTTCGACAGGATAGAAAATTGATATGAAACGCTACTTCAAAAGAGAATTTACAGAGTCAAACCTCTCGAAAACTCTAACGAACCTTCAGTGTCTCACATCGGCGTTAATATTCTTAGAGTGAGTATCTAGAGGGCTCTTGCAAATTCAGAATTACCCCAATTTAGATGGGAACTAGTGCCTGAACTCAGAAGGGAAAACGCTCCAGGGTTGAACAACCAATTTCGAGCACGCTAGTTCTATTCGGACGACATCAATCGCCAAACTGGGATTGTGATGCGAAGGATCGGAGCCTTTCAAAGGTCCCCATAAGCGTTATAAGCCCCCACATATCCAATGATTCGGTCATTCCTGAAAGGCAATGTTAACAATAATGGTGACTTTTGAAGTATCCTGCCTGAAGTCATGGCACAACACTAAACTTGGCAAAGCCACTGGAAAGGTGCGATACACTGTGAAAGCGATTAGAACTGTTGTCTCACTTATGCATATGTGAGGCATTTCTCGGCAAGGAAGGCGTTAGAAACATCTTGGATATTCCCTGGGAAATCAGGTTACACTGTCATGGTCCGTGAAATGGCACGACCCTTCTCTGAATTTCCTGCTCCGGTACCACTTCCTTTCCCAGCTTACTTACCCTTCCCCAATCTCCCCAGCTTCCGTCAACAGTTTCCAGTTTTCGTTTCCAGCAATGCCGTTGAGCTGTAGGACGGGATATGGAGTAAGGGGCGGGGGAGGGGGAGGGATCAGACAACTATTTAATTCAAATAATTGAAACACTAGCTGTGAGGTTTTGTATTATGATGGATATCAAACTAGTGAGGCGGAGGTGGTGTAGTGACAAGGTGCGCTTACCACTCGCGCGGTCCTGGGTTCGAATCCCAGGTCGACACCCGCCCAGGCCAACCAAGCCTTCTGGCGCCCCCCCCCCCCCGGGACGCGGTAAATTGGTACCAGATTCGTCTGGGAGGATAAAACACTGACTTGTTCGGCTGGCCCCGCAAGTCATTGTATAGGCCACATCGCATTCAATAAGCCACTACGATTCTGAATGGAAGTAGAATGCGTGCCGCATCCCACAAAGGGATTGATTAACGGCGAAGACTTTTATCCTTTTTATCAAAGTAGTGCGTATATGGAGCTCATAAAATAAGGAACGAAAAAAAAATCGAGAGAAGTCAACAGCCGGTGAAAATTT